ATAGTCACTGTTTTTCTTGAGAACAAATTAATTAACAAATGCAGGGAGCATATATTGAGTCTGAGGCCTGAGCCAAATGGACCCTGTTGTGAAATACTAAAAAGTACAAGACATACACACCTAAACAGTTGGAGATGACAATGTAGCCAGTTTATTTAAAAAAAAAAAAAAAAAAAGAGCTCTACAAGATTGAAGTGGCAATAAGACATAAGGATGGAACTTCCAAGAAAGAAATTTTATAAATGTTCTTACCTGGAACATGGATATGATGGCTGGAACAACAGCAGTCATTCTAAGATCATAAAATACAGTGATATGATCAAATGCACATGTTTAAGAGGGATAAAACACCTCTAGAGATCATATAGATAAAGAATTTCAAAGAAAAAGACCTTTGGGTTAAATTATTTCCTCTGTACATGAAAACCAGTGAAGCCTAATAACAATTTCGTATAGAATTAATAAAATAATTAAAGTTAGAATGAATCTTAAGAAGCAATGTAAGCTGCCACCTTCTGTTATACTGAAGCCTTCCTCTTTCCACATATTCCCCCACTGAAGGATTTCCCACAAGCTTGAGATTGTTTTTAGTAGAAGTGAGGGCCTTTTGTTCATTCCACAAATAGAAAAACTAAAAGTAGATGCCCTGAGAGAATTAACACATGGGGTTAAAATCATGTCAGGTTGTAAAATGCAGGTATCATATTCATGTCTGAGATCCAGTTTTCATGGGTACTGTGAGAAGATAGCAGAAGAGTAGTTAGTACCTGTGGTAAAAAGTAATTGTAGTGGGGGAGGGGGGGAGAAGTGCAGAAAGGGAAGGTTGAGAATACTGAAAACAAACTATTATTTCAACATTTTGTCCTTGGGGTGGCTCTGGAAAAGGAGATGCAGAGAGAAAACATTTTGTTAGTAAGTACTAGTAAATCCAATCTAATGATTACTTCTTGCTAATTTATAATATTCAAAACAAAACTGTAGATGTTAAAAAAAAAAAAGCCTGTAGATGCTGAAGAGTAGCAGAAAGTTAATTCATAGCAAATTCTGGGGTAAACTTTATTTCTTTTAAATTTTTTAAAAATGTTTATTTCTGAGAGAGAGAGAGACAGCGTGAGCAGGGGAGGGTCAGAAAGAGAGGGAGATACAGAATCTGAAGCAGGCTCCAGGCTGTGAGCTAGCTGTCAGCACAGAGCCCGATGCGGGGCTCGAACCCACGAACCGTGAGATCATGACCTGAGACGAGGTCGGACGCTTAACCGACTGAGCCACCCAGGCACCCCTAAACTTTAGAGTATATTGCCTCCTGAGTATATTAATAGAGCAAAATGAGATGAATATAAAAATATGTTTATAGTGCTTTAGTATAAAATAGCACTAAATTTTCAACTATGTATTGTATATGAAATTTCCTGCAAATCTGAGTAGTTATTTATATCATGAAAAGAAACAGACTTGAGGTGCCTGCGTGACTCACTAGGTTAAGAATCCGACTTTGACTCTGGTCATGATCTCATGGATCTAGGAGTTCAAGCCCCATGTCAGTGTCTGTACTGACAGCTCAGAGCCTGCAGCCTGCTTTGTATTCTGTGTCTCCCTCTCTTTCCACCTCTCTCCCTCTCCCTCTCTGTCTCTCTCTGTCTCTCTCAAAAACAAACATTAAATTTTTTTTAATTAATAAAAAAGAAACAGGCCTATTTATTCACATGTTTAACCTCCATCTTTCCCACTTAGTTCCAAGTCCATCCTGTTTTAGGCCCATGGTTGTTATCACAGGAAGCATCTGACTTAAGCAGATCTGGAAGACCTGCCCATCCACCAAAACCTCTTCCATTGACTTGCCATGGCCCCTGAAAATTCCAGCAATAGAGTTATTTCTCCTCAATGAAGTAATTGGAAGCCATTTAGTATGTAATTATTTTTACTAGGAGTAACTTTATGCCAATTTCACCTAGAAACATCTTGACACAATTATTTTGTCAGAATAGCTGGCCAGTCCTTGGAAGTATCCTCAGGAAATAAGCTATATATTTGCTAAGTTTTGATACAAGAGAGAGAAAAAAAAAGAGGGAACTAAAGAGGCCCATTGGAGGAGAAAAGGCCACATTAAGAGTTCCCTTATGGGTCCTAGAAAATTAGTTTTTGGTATAGAGGAGAAGAGCCTGGCATTTCCAGGAAATTAATGAATACCCAAGGGAGTATAAAATTGATGACAGACTCTATCTTTGCAGTCTCACATATGGACCCTATAACTTAGTTATGTTGACTTCTCTTGGACAGAATCAAAAGCATGATAGAAAAAAGGTAGGAATCTAATTAATAGAAGGTGAGAGGACAAAAGATCAATTTAGATAAACTATAAAGCAAATAATCAGTTTGTTCTCATTTTAGTCTGCTGACAAAACTAAACAGTACAAAAATTTTAAATGTTAGATTTGTTAATTATATGTTTGTTCATTTTATCCCCAAGGTAATAGCTATACTAAAATATTTATCAGTTTAATGTAATGTGGTATCCAGGATTATGTTCTGGAACAGAAAAAAGTTGTAGTTGAAAAAGTAATGAGATCAAATCAAGTCTATGGTATTATACCAACATAAATTCCATAGTTTTGACAAATGGTTAACATTAGGGCAAGCTGAGCAAATGGTATATGGAAATGGGCTATTTTATAACTTTTATAAATTTGAACTTATTTCAAAATGAAATGCTTATTAAAAATTTTTTATTAGAATAACTCTAGCTTATATTAAACATTTTTTTAAATCAAATTGTGAGTTATGCCAGTGACTCATTTGGGAGTATCATGTCTATTATGCCAAATTCTCTAATGCTACTAAGTTTAATGTTTTGCCTATACTTTTATCTCCTGAGCAACCATGGGTAAGGTGTTTTGTCTTCTCAATGGCGGAGGTAGTAATTTTTTTGTCCAATAACGATTTTTGCATCAGGTCTGGATGATGCCTTGGGTCATTTCACCTCATGTTCATTTTACCTGCACATTTTAAAGGCAACAGTTTCTTTCTTTTTTTCTTTCTTTTAAAGCTTGGTCATTTCTTTCTTTTTTTTTTTTTTAACATTTTTTATTTATTTCTGAGAAAGAGAGAGACAGCGTGAGCAGGGGAGAGTCAGAGAGAGAGGGAGATAAAGAATCTGAAACAGGCTCCAGGCTCTGAGCTAGCTGTCAGTACAGAGCCTGACGCGGGACTCGAACCCACGAATCGTGAGATCATTACCTGAGCGAAGTCAGATGTCTAACCGACTGAGCCACCCAGGCGCCCCTAAAGGCAACAGTTTCTAGTTTCATGTTTCTTTTACTATCTGATAACCGTACGTGTAATAAATATCTCAGATTCTGACCACGTTTTGTTCAAGCAAAATATGCTTTCTCCTCTGTTTATAGTACATAACATTCCTCTGTATTTTAGGATATTTTAGTATCATTTTCTCATTTATTTTGATTTGCTTTTTTGATTTTCCTGTGTATATGTTATGTGAAAGAAAATCATTTTGGCTTGTGTCCATTAAAAAGAAAAAAATTAGAAAATAAATAAATAGATTGGGCTTCACACTGTTCTAACAGAAGAAAAAGACCCAGTAAAGATAGTAATCTAAATGGCAGCAAAAATTATCAAGATTAAACTAAGTTCCTACCTACTAACAACCTAATGTTCCGATTAATTAATCACAAGTGAAACGACAACCCCAACTTTATTGACTGGTGGGGAAGAGTGAGCTTCAGTAGCAGCAGAGAGGGCTTTTTTTCTTTTTTTTTCATATTTTGTATTTCCAAATAATCACTTTCTTTTTTTAAAAATTTTTAAATGTTTTTTATTTATTTCTAGCAGAGAGAGAGAGAGAGAGAGAGAGACAGCGTGAGCAGGGGAAGGTCAGAGAGAGAGAGAGAGTGTCACAGGCTCTGAAATAGGCTCCAGGCTCTGAGCTGGCAGTCAGCACAGAGCCCGACGCGGGGCCCGAACCCACGAACCGAGAGATCATGACCTGAGCGAAAGTCAGACGCTTAACCGACTAAGCCACCCGGGCGCCCCCCAAATAATCACTTTAATAAATGAGGGGTAGAAGTATGAAAAGGATTCCAGAAATGAACAGCCTGAGTGGTTAAGAAAGATTACTGTGCGATTAGCAGCTTGGTGCAGGGCTGTCTAACTTGGCTGTAGATGTTTTGTTTTGTTTTGTTTTGTTTTTAATTACAGGAGGCCATGGGGAGAGGTGAGGGAAGCAGCTGGGATCTGGCCATTCTCTGCTGGTCCTGCCCAGGCAGAGGGAAAGTACCCTAATTCTCCCAAAGGCACGCTTCAGACGTCCAGTGGAGGAAGACCCTTGTCTACACACCTACAAGAAGCTACTGTCTCACAAACGGTTGAAGACAATTTCCCTTCCCCACTACACACAGTGAAATTGTTACAGACCTCAGGTCCTGACATTTGTGTCCCAGGTTTGAAATGCATGGTCTCTGGGCTTTTACTAGAGATTACTTAACTCGTCAATGAATGAACAGCCTTTCAGGCTCTTTCGCAGCTGAATTTCTGTCTTTTACGCGTTTGGTTTTATTGTCTGTTGGTGTTTCTTTTTGTGTGTGTGTTTTGTTTTTTCCACTCCGCTTCACCGACTGAAGGCTGTGTGGTACCTTTGGTTTCCTCAATTAGCGTAAAAATTGCTTCAAAGCCGTCCAGTCTCCAGTGCCATCCCATATAAAGTGCTCAATCCCGAGGTATCCACTCTGCATTCGACTGACCCTTCCCACAGCGGCCCCTCGACGTTCTCTCAGTTTTTCGCAGGTTTACGCCTAAACGGAAGTCACTTTCCTCCACCTGCCACTGAGGCACACCGCTCAGCGCCTGCGCCAGCGATCCCGCCAGTCGGTGGGAGTCCGTCATATGGCGCATGCGCGGTCCCCGCCGGAGTGTGCAGAGGAAATATCGCGTTGGCGGCCAATGGTGACGTAAAAATTCTGCGCGGTGCCTCAATGTGTACACTTTCCGAGGGAGTCAGCGCTGGAGCGTCTCAGTTATGGTGCGGTGCAGTTGCGTGTGGTTCAGAAAGGTCCGTGACTGGTACCTCTCCGCCTGAATCTCGACAACTTGGTGCCTGTAGCCCCACCTGAAGGCTTTGGTTCCCCTCTCTTCCCTCCCTCCCCCATTTTCTTTCCGGAGGCCTTTTTTCTGCGTGTTCTACTATGGTTCTCAGTCCTTCCGAGTCAGGCTTGGCTTGTGAGGAATGGGACAGTGTATCTACCTGGAACGCTTAGAACGGTTGTTTAGGGGCCCAGGTTTTGAGGTTCTTCAGGGGAATTGTGTCCACGTGGAATGGGTTACTGAGGAAATCTAGCTTTTAGATATGCAACGTAGTTTACGTAGTGTGTAGGGTTGACTTTTTCTTTTGGCTCAGTGTCTTTTTTCTTTTAGGTAGTAATATCGGTAGCCTGTTCTTATGTATGTTTTCTTCAAGTGGACGGTATTTAAGAGCTTTCTAAAGACAATCAGAAAACGAAAATAATGTAATTGGTTTCCCACTTGCAAGAAATTTAGTTCATTTTGTATGCAGTGCCAGTTTTAGAATCATTACTGTAAAGATTTACAGTTGTTTCAAATAAAAAAAAACCTCTGTAAGAGGTTATTATTTACTAATAATGTATTTGGAAACTTAACTGGCGTTATTAAAAACACGTCAGCTTCTCCGAAGTTTGCTTCCTAAACCTCTGAGTCTGATGAATCTAGATGAGTAAAAAATGTGGCACGCATTGAACGGAACTTTAAAAACAGGAACTTTCGTTTTATTGGAGGTAGAGGCCTGAGTAATATTTCTGAATTAAATTATACTTTAACCTTCTATTTCCCAGAAAATAGGTAGTCAAAAGAAAAGAGACTTGTGAAAGGTAGTACTTGGGCATATGAGGTAACTAATGTTTCAACTAAAAAGAGACGACTACTATTTTTTTTTTTTTTTTTTTTGGTGGGTAAGTCGTAAAGAGCTGCTTGTGTGGGGGTACTACCGTGAGCAGCCACTTCCCCTCCACGTTGCTTGCAAGGGGAATCTCTTCACTTATATGTGATGCGTTTCTGATGTAGCCTGGAAGAATCAATTCTTCACCCTCAGAGAAAAATACTTTATTCCTCAGGTTCATCTTTTCCACATTCTTTCTTTAAAAAAAATTTTTTTTAAATATTTTATTTATTTGAGAGAGAGAGAGCGAGCGAGCAGGGGAGGGTCAGAGAAAGACGGAGATACAGAATCCAAAGGAGGCTCTGGGCCCTGAGCTCGCTGTCAGCACAGAGCCCGACGCGGGGCTCCAACCGCGAGATCGTGACCTGAGCCGAAGTCGGAATCTCAACCTCTCAACCGACTGAGACACCCAGGCACCCCTTCATATTCTTTCTACCTTGTTCCCTTACAATATGAATATAGTCATATTTCATGACTATATTTGCATATTTAAAGCCTAATATATGAATCTTTGTTGTGCGCCTATCCACTGCAATCTGAGATCTAGACTGCATCAGAATCACCAAAGGAACTTTTGCTAAATATACTGGTTAAACCTATCTATTCTCATCCCCTCCTCCAGAGTATAGCAGAATGGTCAGTGGACTATGTAGTTTGGAAAAAGCTCCCAGATGTTTTTGATACTTAACCTATGCTAAGTGACTAAAGGTCATGAATTTAAGAGATTACTCTGTAAGGAATTTTGATAGTCTGAGAGGTTAATATATAGGATCTTTACCTACAAAAAGTTTAGTGAGGGAAACAAACACTAAATGCAGTACAAGTTTTCAAAAGGTATAATAAGAGATAAGATGACTAAAGGCCATGAATTTAAGACATTATAAGGAATTTTGATAGTCTGAGAGGTTAATACATAGGATCTTTACCTACAAAAAGTTTAGTGAGGGAAACAAGTAAACAATAAATGCAGTATAAGTTTTCAAAAGGTGTAATAAGATTAAGATCTAATTGCTGAGAAATCCCAGCATAGTCAGTGGTAAGTGTTAAGAAAGACACCAGAGGGGTGCCTGGGAGGCTCAGTCGGTTGAGTGGCCAACTTCGGCTCAGGTCATGATCTCACGGTTCCAGTTCATGGTTCGAGCCCCACATGGGGCTCTGTGCTGACTGCCAGTTCAGAGCCTGGAGGCTGTTTCAGATTCTGTATCTCCTTCTCTCTCTGACCCTCCCCTGCTCATGCTGTCTCTCTCCCTCTCTCACAAATGAATAAAACATTGAAAAAAAATTTTTAAAAAAGAAAGACATCAGAAAATACAACATGTAGGTGGAAAAGAACAAATGACTTTGGAGGAAAAACATGAACAGAGTGCCACAGAGATAGGACAGTAGATCATGTACAGGGCAAAGTGAGGAAGGAGAGAGAGAACAGGTTGAAGGAACGAAAATGAAACTGGAAAGGTAGGTTAAGAGCTTTGACTACTGAGAAATGTAGACTGTTTCATAAACAGCAAAAACAAAAAAATGAGTGGTTTTTGGGGAGAAACATAGTTAGAAATCAGATCCATTTTCAGAAAAGCTCAGGCAGCAAGACAAAGAGTGAGGTGAAAAAGGAATGTCTAGACACAGCAAGAACATTTTAGGAGCTAATGTAATGGTCAAGATACTAAGTTGTACTAGAAAGGAGAAATAGAGCTTTGGGGAAAGAGGCAGGTATAGTGAGAGATTCCCCTATGTAGTCTCAATGACTAGATAAACTGTGGTTCCATTATTTGGAAGAACCCTGGGGGAACAGAATTTACCTGAGGAAAGGTTTGGTTTTTTTCATATTATGGTTGTATCTGAGGTGACTATTATTTTTTCAACTAATATCTAAGAAAAAGTTGATTATTTAAGGGGTTTCAAATGTAAATTAAATAGCAGATTTTGCTCTTAGTTGCTTTAGACTGTTAAGTTTACCTCCTCCTGGAATATCCAACAGACTAAACATAGAGAATATCTCACCTAGGTGATAGTTAGCTGGTACAGTCTGAGGTCACCCAGAGGAGAAAGTCTAGATTGAAAAGTTGAGCAACGTCAGCAACTTTGAGACAAAAAGTGAACAATACTTGATCATTGGAAAAAGAGGTATTAAAGGAGTTAATCAGAAGGGAAAGGGAGGTCAGACCAGAGATGAACTAAGAAAAGATTATGGTCTTGGCATTCAGAATGCAGTATTGATTTTTTTAGGTGCTTTAGTGGCAACAAAGGACTTGCAAGGAGTTCTAAGTTGGTAAGCATGTTTGGTATCTAAGTGATCTCTCTCTCTTTCTCTCCTATCTTAAGTATGGAAACTTCATTGATAACCTAAGACTCTTCACGAGGGGAGGAAGTGGTGGAATGGGTTACCCTCGTTTAGGTGGAGAAGGTGGAAAAGGTGGCGATGTCTGGGTTGTAGCCCATAAGAAAATGACTTTAAAACAACTTAAAGACAAATATCCTCAGAAACGGTTTGTGGCTGGAGAAGGAGGAAATAGTCGGTAAGTATTGCCTGAATGACTTTGATTTTAGAAAAATAATCCCACCCAGGAGGAAAAAAAGTTAGAAGATAAAAATTGAATTGGTAATTTGAAGTAAATTATATCTTATATTTGTACCTGAGCAAACATACACAATAATTATCTCAACTCTAGTAAAGATAAAAGGTAGGTAACTATGCAATGTTTTGGAACTTTTTAATTCTCACAATGTCTGTTTATATTCCTTTGCACTTTTCTGTAGAAACAGAAAATGATCTGAAGTCCCACTGTTTTCTTCTAAAATTAAATTATTGTTGACAATCTTTAGGAAAACTTTTTCAAATCTCAACTGTGCTACTCCACCCCACCATCACCAATGGTTCTGCCAGGGTCTTAAGATTTAGAACCTGTTTCACTGATCAGTCCCTTGTGTATTTTCTTTCCTCTTTTGTCTTGTTTTGGTCTTCTCTCTGTAACATCAAAACCTTCCCTTTATTTTTTTGCAAATTTTTGTTATTTTTTTATGGAACATATGTTGCTCTCAAAATATGGAAAAAAACTTTTTCTTTTATTGTAAAGAAATTAAAGGAAAATCTTACTCAGTTACCTATATTTTGGAAGTGGTGCTTGAACCAGGTCTTGGAAAGGGAATAGAAAGTTGCCAACAATCAAGGCAGGAAAAGGTGTGTTGGCAAGTGTACAGCATTTATAAAGGCAGTGGTAGGAGGGAACAAGCTGGTGAAATAATGAATATTTCCAGCATAACTGTGGTAAAAATGGGGCAGCTTGTTTTAAAGTAAAGACATTGTAGTCCAGATCATGAAGGGCCTGATATACTGTGTTACAGTTTGAATATTATCTTCGAATGATGGGGAGCCATTGAGAGATCTTAAATATGCAGGCGACAATATATTAGTGTTGAGGAAAATCACTCTAGGGATAATTGGTTAAAGAATGGATTGGAGGTATTGATTGAGGTCAATTTACAGAATATTGCAATATTTCATAAGTGATGAAGTTCTCAAGGTCTGACCTGTACCTATCTTTCTAGTTTCATTCCCCTCTACATTCTGTGTTTTCTGCATTCCAGCCACATTGGCTTTCTTTTAGTACTTACACTGGTATTTGTCTTCTATCACAGGGTCTTTGTTTGTGTTATCTCTCCTCTAATACTTTTTCCTCACCTTCATGTGGTTGCCTCCTATGAATCCCTTAGATTTAAGCTCACGTCTTTCCTGATTTCCGTGATTAAGTCAGAATTCCCATACCTACTCACATGTGTAAGTTCTAATTCATAAGACTTGTCACAGTTATAATTTTCCATTTTCCTTTTTTAAAATTTTTTTATGTTTATTTTTGAGAGGGAGAGAGAAAGATAGAACACAAGGTGGGGAGGGCCAGAGAGAGAGGGAGACGCAGTATCCAAAGCAGGCTCCAGGTTCCAAGCCGTCAGCACAGAGCCCAGCGCAGGGCTGGAATTCACAAATTGTGAGATCATGACCTGAGCTGAAGTCAGACACTCAACTGCTGAGCTACCCAGGTCCCCCTTAATTTTCCATATTTCACATAATGGATTACTGTCTGCTCTCATTAGCCTACTGTTGAGGTCCATTAGGGCAGGGAACAGTTGAGATCATCATTTCTTCCCAGATGTGTAGTACAGTGATTTGTACATAGTAGATATTCAGTTAAGATTAGTCAAATGATGAATTGGATTGACAGAAATGGATGGATTAGAGCCCTGTTAAAAAAGTGAAATAAGTTAGACTTCGTGATTGATGGGAGTATTGTAGGAGAATAATAAATCAAGGATAACTTCCTGGTTTTGACTCGAGGAGTAGGTAGATGGTAGTATCATTCTTTGAGAAGGATTATGGTAGGAAGTGTCACCTGAGATGTAGAGGAAGAGGGTTTGAAGGGTTTGTAGAGATACAAGTGAGCACTTGAAATATAGGTCTGTGATTCAGGAATATGGTCAGGTCTAGAGATAAATTTGTTAATCATAAGCATGGACCAGGGTTAGTGCATTACAAAAGAGAAGAGGACTGAGGATCAAATTCTGTTATTCACCAACATTTAAGGGAAAGAAACAGAAATGTGATCTAAAATAATAGAGTCAGGAGAGACTTAGTGTCATAGAAGTCAAGGAGGAGGTGACAGTCTTGTTTATCCTGTAGAGTTCAGGTAAATTAAGTCATGAAGTTGAATAAACTTACTGAATGCCAGAATTTGAATGAATTATTTTATAGCTTTATGAATTATGTCTTCATGTGTCTAAATCTGGGTCCCACAAGAAGCAGGTATCAAGGTCGGATTAGATGAACAAGAGATTTATTGGGAGAACACCTAAACACTTGTAAAGGCAAATTGGGGAGGGACTTGAGGGGAAGTTGGGAAAGCTGTCTGACCACTTTGCAAGTCTAATCCTTATGAAGGAGAGTAGGAAGGGCAATATTTTAGTCCACTGTGTAGTTCTAAGAAAGTTTAGCAAAGCTGATGGTGATTCCATAGTCAAAAGTTTCCCATCAAAGGAATCTTTGTTTCCTACAAAGAGGTTGACTTAGTAACCCTGCTGTACCCAGTCATTGGCTGGAAGCAGAGTGTGGGAAGCATTATCTCTTTAGATTTCAGAGCACAGCAGCTAGCCATAGGTCAGTTATGTTCCCTGCAGTCAAGTCTAAGAGATGCATTTTTATGGCCCACTATATTATGCAGTGTTCAGTGTTTTTGTAATCAATTGTTCAATGTTGTTTTTGTCAATTTAGAAATCTACAAGCAATTTGCAAGTTACCTTATATGACATTTTGTTTCTGGTTATAGAACCAAAGGATGAGACTCTTGAATACAAGAGAAGTTAAGGTCTGGGAGAAGACAAAAGCCCAGAACATAGGTTTCATCTCTGTTTTTATTGAGTTCACAAGATATTACTCTCATAGTGAACATGAGGAAAACAAGATTTTACACATGTGGTGAACATGAAGAAAACAAATCAGATAATAATCATTCACGTGTGTGTAAGCAAAATTGGGGGGGGAGCAAGTGGAGTTTGTGATCAAGGTGTATTGGTGCCAGATGGAAAGTAATTTCCTGCCGGTGATATAACAAGTTATTTGTGAGTCCATTACAATATCTCTTGGGATTCTCTCTCCTCTGCTCTCTGGCCCTCCTCAGCTTCTGCTCATTTGCATGTGCTTTTGCTCTCTCTTTCAAAATAAAAACATTAAAAAAAATAAAGCTTTTAATAGTGTCTGGTGCATATTATTGGCAGAAAAAGTGGTAGATGATTATATAATAGCCTTAGTATAGTTATTATCATGTAATTGTATAGTTTAATCTCTGTATATTTTCTTTCATTTTATCTCTATATAATGGTAATTCAAGCTCATTGTAAAAATATCAGATAAAGTAAAAAGATGTGAAAAAAAGTCAATCACCTATAATTCTTCCATCCGTAGATAACTACTATTAATCTTTTTTTGACTTTTCTAGAACTTTTATGTATGTTTCTGCAAATTGACTTGTGGCAAGTATATTATATGGATGTGTATAAAAATTGGGGGTACAAAATTGAAAGCACAATATTTTCCAACCTTTTCTTTTTACTTAACATTTTTTTTACACACCAGACAATTGTTCAAAATAGTTGCATACTAGTGTACTATGGAAAATAAGATAATATTTTTGTCATTCACTTATTGATGTAATTATAGATATTTTTACTGTTAGAGTCACAATGTAATATATATCCTTGTGTATATAGTATTTTACATGATTGTTTGTTGTTTTTTTTTTTTGGATAAATTTCTAGAAGTAAAATTACTAGTTAAAAGTTTATACCAATTCTTTTTTTTTAATTTTTTTATTTTATTTATTTCTAGGAGAGAGAGAGACAGCGTGAGCAGGGGAGGGTCAGAGAGAGAGGGATATACAGACTCTGAAACAGGCTCCAGGCTCTGAGCTGGCAGTCAGCACAGAGCCCGACGCGGGGCTCGAACCCACGAACCGCGAGATCATGACCTAAGTGAAAGTCGGACGCTTAACCGACTAAGCCACCCAGGCGCCCCTATACCTATTAATTCTTTCATGAACAATATGAGACTAGTCAGATGAGCCTCCTATAATAAATGAGCCTCCTATAATACTCTTTATTTGAGGTCAGTGTTAAAAACTTTCTTATTCAATGGATAAGAAATTTTTATTTTTATTTCTAGCTTATTTGTGTTGTAGCAATGATCTCTTCATTCTAAGTATACAGTATTTTAGTTCACTGTGGGCTAAAATGACTTTTGGTGATTAGGTTGATAATTTGAATCATTATGTATTATTATTATTATTTGTTTTTATTTTATTATTTTTATGTGATAGTCTAAAATGCAAATAAACCATTAGGGATAATTTTCTTCACAGATACTTGGCCACTTATCATCTGCATTAACCAAAACTTGATTGCTAGTCTTTGTAAACCACATTTGCTTGGACATAGACCATTTGATATAGTGGGTTTTCTGTGTTTTGATTTAGCTTTATTTATTTATTTTTTTTGTAGAGTTAGTGCACTGAAAGGCTCCAGAGGAAAAGACTGTGAAATTCCTGTACCTGTGGGTATTTCAGTAACTGATGAAAATGGTAAAATTATAGGTAAGTGTATTGTGGATTCTAAGGTTGAGAAAAATGCACATTTTCTAAAATTGTTTGGAAGCTGTGAGGAATAGCTCCTCTTGAATTTCAGAAAAATTTTAAGCTTGCTTATGTATATATGTATGTATGTATTTATAGCACATTAGCAAGAGAGAAGGAGTGAGGGAGAGAGAATCCCACACAGGCTGTATACTCAGCATTGAGTGGGGCTCAGTATCACAACTATGTGATCATGACTTGAGCCAAAATCAAGAGTCAGTCAGTTGAGTGTCCAACTTTGACTAAGGTCATGATCTTCCAGTTTATGAGTTCAAGCCCCACACTGGGCTCACCAGTGTCAGCCCCGAGCCTGCTTCGGATTCTCTATCCCCCTCACTCTTGTCTTCCCCTATTAGCGCTCTAAAAAATAAATAAACATTAAAAAAAAGAAAACTATTTCAACTGCTAGTTTATAAAAGATTTTTAAAACTATATATAAACATTATTCAAAATTAACTGCTAAATTTAAGCTTATTGTAATGATTTTTTTTTTTTTAATGTTTATTTATTTCTAGGAGACAGAGAGAGAGACAGCGTGAGCAGGGGAGGGTCAGAGAGAGAGGGAGTCACAGACTGAAACAGGCTCCAGGCTCTGAGCTGGCAGTCAGCACAGAGCCCGACGCAGGGCTCAGACCCACGAACCGTGAGATCATGACCTAAGCGAAAGTCGGACGCTTAACCAACTAAGTCACCCAGGCACCCCAAATTTAAGCTTATTGTAAATAGAGTATTTACTCAGTTTTAAAATATATAACTAGTCTCAACTGCTTACAAAATGTTTTTTGGGATCAGACTTTTATGAATCTTAATCCTATGGTTTAGCCCTTTAGATTTATAAACTGGAATTTTATACAAAAAATTTAAGCAAAAAATGTCATTAGTAAATAGCTCCACTTAGTAATCTTTGCTCTAAGTTATCTTTCTCTTTGTTTTCAAGGAGAACTCAATAAAGAGAAAGACAGAATTTTGGTAGCTGAAGGAGGTCTTGGTGGTAAACTACTTACAAATTTCTTACCATTGAAAGGCCAGAAACGAGTCATTCACCTTGATCTAAAACTTATAGCTGATATAAGCCTAGTAGGGTAAGTATCATTTATATATATATTGTAATTTGAGAGAGATAGTTCCTAAGTAGGAATTAAATACAAGTGGTAATTTTGGACCAGTGTTCTTTATGGAATTTGTGCTTTGTTTGTATACTTGAGAATGCTGATAAGTATAGTCATTTTTTATATTGCAAACATAGAGTTTCATAGTTAATATTTATTTGTAAAAAGAAAGGAAGATCATAGCAATTGAGTTGGCTAGTGGGGATGTTAGAGGATGAATCAACAAAGAAAAAAATCAAATGCCATAATATAAGAAAGTAAAAAATGTTACCAGATATTAAGGAATAAAATTAAAAATCCAAACCACATTTTAAGAAATGTATAAGAGGAAATAAAAAGAAGAGAATAAAATGATTGAGATATTCTTACAAATCTTAATAGAGGTATTGATATTTTGTTAATCAGGTGGCTAAATGCCAATCCAGACCATTGTAACCATCAGACTTAGATACTATTGAGCAATCAAATTGTATCTTGCTATGACCATTTCCCTATCCTTCATGTTCTAGTTAGGATCTGTCCATTCTCAACTGCCAACCCCACAATGTTGTCCTCTTTCACCAGCTTCCATTCTTTCATCAACCAGTGTATTTAGCTGTGGGGTTTGCAATGCTAACATCTGACTGGAGGGGGATAGATAGCAAGATAGAAAGGAGCAAAAGAAAAGGAAAATTTTAGCTTTGCATTTCTCCTCTCCCTTTCTCCCTGGCCGCACTTCAGCATTACACAGTAGTCAGATGGAATACCTAAGAAAAAGGTAGGGAAGACTGCCTTACTGAGGGCTCTACTTCAAACTGCCAGTTGCATTTCTCACCTTATATAGCTTCTTTCCAAGCTCTTTTTATTTTCCACTCCAGCCATTTCACTGCTTCTTTACCAGACTCAGCAGTCTGAATCCCTTACCTCTTGCCATGCCTGTCTAGCTCTAGGTAACAACAATGGCTTAGAGTTCATAAAGGCCCCATTCCTGCTCACATTGTAGCAGGGAGAGATGTGATCCTGGTGTTCAGACTTGCTAATTGGATTTAGTCTTTTCCATAAACCAAGTTATGAGCCACAGGTTCTGTAATACTGTATATATTTCACAATGTTGTGGGTTTAATAGGGTTTTGTGGACTGAGAATCTAGCCATCCATAGTCTCATTTGATATAAAAATGCGTTTCAGGTTTCACAGAGACACCTCTACAGACTAAGAAGAGCCTCACAAGGCTGAGTAATAAAGGTGGGATGAGGATGGGAGACTCAAGTGAGACAGTGGGTCAGAATCTCCTATTCTCTGGAAGCCACCTAGATGGTGTCGGATAAATTATAGAACATCTCTAAGCTTTTGTTTTCTCGTTTTTAATAGTGGATGTAGATGTTGGTAAACTATTGCTGGTGAGTAAGATAACACATTTGCAACATAACACATGCCTTGGATTTATGAATGCTCAATGAACAACTGGTAGTTGCTCTCGTTATCATCATTATATTGCCAACTTATTGGCAGCTACAGTACCTACAGTGAAATACCAAGCTTTTCAGAAGTGGATTTGATATTACAGCCAATAATTAAAACATCAAGTTTCTTTTTCTTTTTTCTTTTTTAAATTTTTTTAGTGTTTACTTTTGAGAGGGGGGGGGAAGGAGAGGACAGAGAGAGAGAGAGAGAGGGAGACACAGACTCTGAAGCAGACTTCCAAGGTGTCATCAGGTTCTGAGGTGTCAGCACAGAGTCCCACATGGGGCTCAAACTCATGAACTATGAGATCATGACCTGAACTGAAGTTGGATGCTTAACTGACTATGCCACCCAGACACCCTTCTTTTTTTTTTTTTTTTTTAAGAGCATCAAGTTTCTTAAGTACAATACTTAACATATGTACTTTNTCTTAAGTACAATACTTAACATATGTACTTTAGTACTTTTTTTTTTTTTTTAATATTTTTATTTATTTCTAGGAGAGAGAGAGAGAGAGCGTGAGCAGGGGAGGGTCTGAGAGAGAGGGAGATACAGACTCCGAAATAGGCTCCAGGCTCTGAGCTGGCAGTCAGCACAGAGCCCGACGCAGGGCTTGAACCCACGAACCGTGAGATCATGACCTAAGCGAAAGTCGGACGCTTAACCGACTAAGCCACCCAGGCGCCCCATGTATTTTAGTACTTTTAAATTATGCACCTATTAGTAAAAAGTTACTACTGTGAATACCAGCATAAACAGATACCTGTTTGCTAGTTTCAGGAATGAACTGAACCTTAGAAGAAAGGTGTCATATAACTAACATACTTGTATGGCTCTTGTCAAATCTGATCTTTGTACAGGTTGCATTTCAGCCTCTAAAATTTTTATTAAGTACTTTTCAGGAAAGATCTCAAGTGTCTGTTCTTCAATCATTAGCATCCTTTTTCTTCTTCTATGTTGATCTCTTCGGAAACAGTTGCTGGCATTTTTCTGTATTTAATCTATTACGAAAATACGAAGATAATGGAAAGAAACAGCAAGTTCAATTAGTGATCATCATGGCTAAAAATGATTTAAGTTTGCTTTTCAAAAAGTTAAAAGAGGAGCACCTGGCTGGCTCATTCACAAGAACATGCAGCTCTTGATCTTAGGGTTGTGCATTCGAGCCCCACGTTGGGTGTAGAGATTACTTTAAATAAAGAAATAAATAAACTTTAAAAAAAAGTTACAAGAGCCTGAGTGAGTATGATAGATTACTGTATTTCCACAGGAAAATGAGTATTAAAAAAATCTCACATGATTTTATTCTAAATTCATTATAGGAAGATATATTTAATGATCTATTTTAGTTAGATTTATTTTTAATGTTAAAAGAGCTCTACTAAGAGGTAGAATAATTATAAAATTCTTATAGAATAATTTTTTATAGATTTTTTGTAGAACTTCAAATTAATATTTCCAAAGTATTAAACCATTATTCCAAGTGAAAGTTTGGCAGGTTTTGAAAGAAGAGCTTTTTCCAATTTCACTGAAACCTAAAGGCAGGGATCACATTCGTCTCATTGATTGCTTTATTTTGGATGTCTAGTATATTGTCTGATACAAGTCAATGCTTAATAAATATTCTTTGGATAAATATAATGAAAATATCTGAATGAAACTGAGGAAATCATCTCTTCAGTAATCCCTGTTTATAGTACTTTTTCCTTATATGGTGGGCATTTCTTAAGGTAAATTTAGCAATAAAATCAAGTCTTTAAAACAAACATCTATTTATTTTATCTTTTTTTTTTTTTTTAAGTTTATCCATTTACTTAGAGAGAGTGCACATGAGTCGGGGAGGAGCAGAGAGTGAGGGAGACAGAATCCCAAGCAGGCTCCCTGCTGTTAGCACAGAGCCCATTGTGGCTGGATCTTACCAACCATGAGATCCTGACCTGATCAAGATCAAGAGTCAGACTGTTAACTGACTGAGCACCCAGGTACCCCTACAATAAGCAGCTATTTTAATTCAGTATATTCTCATCAAGAAATGTATATCAAGAAAGAGGTTAAAGATGTGTGTAAAAGTTCAAGGAAAATAACTGTAGTAGTTAAAGTTTTAAGAAAAAGTTAGATAATGAAAAAATAAGTGCTGAAAGAAAATTTGCCAAAAAAATAGTTGTCTATTGATTCTAGCACTTGCAGATGACTGTTACTGTTGATATATGTCTTTCTAGCTGTATATATGTGGTTTTTTGCATGATATTTGTAATAATAAAAAATTGGAGATAACCTAAATGCCTAACAATAAGACATTAGTTAAGTTAATTATAGTGTGCCCTTGAAAGGTGTTCAGCATGTATTATTCAGTTTAAAAAGCAGGCCAACCAAGTATGAAAGTAGTCTTTCAAAAAAAAAAAAATCAGAACTAACCCTGATCAAGGCTTTATATCAAACTAACAATTTTTAGAAAATCTGGGGCATACGGAGCATGCTAAAAGACATCATGGGGGTGCCAGCAAAAAATTAAAAAAAATAAAAAATCCAGACTATGGGAAAGAAATGCTGCTATAGGTCAAATGACCCAGTTTCCTTAAAAATAAAATTGCAGAGAGGAAACAAGATAGAGGGAGGGCCTTTACCAAAAGACATTTAAGGGATATATCAACCACTTGTAATATACAGACCTTGTGTGGGTCCCAGTTCAAATAAACCAACTTTAAAAAAGTTTTGGGAATGTGTTGTTATTTTTTGAAGCTAGGTGATGGCTAAATGGGATTTATTACTTCTTTCCACTTTTGTATGTGTTTAGAAATGTCCATATAAAATGTTTTAAGGAAAATCTACAAAGCAATATAAGCAATATTTTGCCATTATTTGGCTAGAATTCGTGGATTATAGGTATTTTTATTAGTTTCTTTTTTCTGTGATTTGCAGGCTTTTTTTTTTTAAAGCTCTGAGAGCTTTTTTTTTTTTTAATTTTTTAAAATGTTTTTTATTTATTTCTAGGAGAGAGAGAGAGAGACAGCGTGAGCAGGGGAGGGCCAGAGAGAGAGGGAGTCACAGACTCTGAAACTGGCTCCAGGCTCTGAGCTGGCAGTCAGCACAGAGCCCTATGCGGGGCTCGAACCCACGAACCGCGAGATCATGACCTAAGCAAAAGTCGGATGCTTAACCGACTAAGCCACCCAGGTGCCCCGCAGGCTTTTTAAAGATAACTGAATTATTTACTCTCAGAGATACTAAAACATCTCTAGTGTTCAGCATGAATTTGTCTTTACTTTTTTCATATGTATATTTTGTTCCTCAGGTTTTTCAGGATTATTTTTCATTTATATTCTACTTTTATTCCCAGAAATACCCAAAAAAATCTATCTCTTGAAATGTTAGAAATTTAGAGATAAGCAAGTATTAATAATACTAGTATTTGTTTTAATACCTTATTTTATTTTTCCATTTCAGATTCCCAAATGCAGGAAAATCGTCTTTGCTAAGTCAGGTTTCTCATGCAAAACCTGCCATTGCTGATTATGCATGTAAGTATAATTTGTTGTGTATTTTAACATGTGCAGATAAATTTTTAAAGACCAACCTTTTTTGAGTATGAATAAAATGACAACTCTGACGTTCCTTTAGTTTGAAAACTCTTGGCCAATAGAACACATGCATTTCCCATTAATCCTTGAAACTTCTGTAGCCCTCAGCAAAGTTCCTAGTACTTGTTAGACACTTGCTTTGTTGCATTTGTTTCTCTGTTGCACAATCATTTATTTAATTTAATTATGATTTTATGAGCATCTACCCTTTATTAAGCACTGTTCTTTCATTCATTTAGCAAATATTTATTTCTGTGAACTATAGTAGGTACTGGAGTTACAAAGGTTGGTAAGCAGCAACAGATACTGTTCTGACTCTTATTGAGCTTACAGACTAGTAGGGGAAGGCACATATATCACACATGACTGAGGGAATATAATATGATTCTATGAAAGAGTGTAGGTGGCTGCTTTAAACTTCTTTGGGAAAGTGCGATGCTTTCCCAAGGGCTGAGGTGTAAAGAATACATGAGTTAGTCAGTGATAGGCAGTGAATGTGAAAGGTGTTTTAGCTAGAGGAAATAGCATGTACAGAAAAGCTCTCTGATAGCAGAGAGGTTTGTGTATTTAGAGAACATGTAGTAAGGGAAAGAGGGAGTCAAGATAAGGCTGGAGATGTAGATAGAGACCATATCACATAGACTGGTTAGGCTGTATTTGATCTTTATATCTATAGGCTTTTAATCAAAGGATAAAATAATTAGATTTCAGTCTCTAAAATTAAATAAATTTTTCATTTTTAATCTCATTTTCAAAAAGATCTCTCTGTATATAATACAGAGAATGAATTGGTATGGGTCATAAATGGGTCTGGGAAAAATAGGCTACTGCTGTAGCTAGATAAAATCTAATGGAGGTTTAGACTAAATAATGAATGAATGTGATAGAATCTCTGCCATCATTAAATAAAAAGATACAGAAACGTACATTAACCTGGAAAATAAAGTCAAGCCATTCTAAAATTAGACTCTGAGGAAGTAGAGTTAATTTTGGACTAATTGCTATAAATTACATTACCAGTATTGATTGTCATGATACAGGGACTCTTGAGAAGGAAAGAGGAGGAAAAGCTCAGAAGGAGGCTAGTTTCAGAACTGATGAGACTTGAAGAGAACTGAATGAGAAAAGGACTAGATAAGTTTCAACCACAGATCCAGTGATAGAAACCTAAATTCTGCTGTACCCACCAACACCTTTACCACAATCCTTAAAGTACAATAAAAGAACTTTGAAGCCTACTAATTATATTAGATCTATGCCTCTGCACATTATAATTATATTTTCCATGCCAACAAATGAGAATAGTATCTGAATTAAGATTTATGAATCATTTTTGTTCACAAAAAATATTGTTTATACATGAAACTAAGACAATTTTGAGAGTACCAGCCTTTATTCTAGCCTCAATTTATTGTTTTCTTTTAGTTACAACATTAAAGCCTGAACTTGGAAAAATTATGTATAACGATTTCAGACAGGTGAGTATTTTTAAAGTAAGACAATTGATTAGAAGGGAAAGTACTTGCTTTTGGTACTTGGACTTTGTAGTATTTGATTGTTTCTGTGGTGTTAAGGGGGAAAAAAGTAGCAGGGTTTTTGTTTTTGGAAATGAAACCATGATCAAATCAATTCTATTGAGTGCAATCATAGTAAAATATTGTATAAGAGTATAACTTTTTCTCCTTCCGAAGACTAGGTCCAGTTTACCATTACAACATCCTATCTTCTTTATCTCTTTGATCTCTGTTCTCATTGCAAGTCCATATTTTATTGCCATATTTGATCATTGATTTTTCTTTCCTAAAAACATTTTCTAAAGTTCATGGAATTGATTTCATTCCAATTTTTTAAAAAAATTGTTTTAATTGAACAGGATTCTGGTCTAGCTATTAAAAATTATTTTTCCTTGATAAGGAAGAACTATAGATAGTTTGAATAATTAGAGTAAAAATAAATAAAAAAATGAAAGTAACAAGATTTTTAAAGTATATAATGTATGATCAACAATTGTTCTCCTTGGTATTTACCAAAATGAATTGAAAACTTACATACACACAAAAGCTTGCACATGGATGTTTATAGCAGTATTGTTCATAAGTGCCAAAACCTGTAAGTAGCCATGATGTCCTTCAGCAAGTGGATGGATAAATAAATTGTGGTAATAATGGAATATTATTTAACATTATAAAGAATTGAACTATCAAGCCATGAAAAGACATGGAAGAACTTTAAATGGATATTACTAACTGAAAGAAGCCAATCTGAAAAGACTGCATGCAGTGTGATTCTAACTATGTGGCATTCTGGTAAAAGGCAAAACTATGGATGTAGCAAAAATATCATTGGTTACCAAGAATTAATGGGAAAGAAAGAATGAATAGAAGAGCACAAACGATTTGTGGGCAGTGACACTATTGCATGTGATACTATGCTGGTGGGTACATATTATATATTTGTCAGAGCCCGTACAATGTACAACACCAAGAGTGAACCCTAATGTAAAGTATGGACTTAAGGTGATGATATATCAGTGTAGTTTCATATAATCCATTGACATAATTAAAATACATAAAAGATTTATATTCATTTTTCATAGTGATATGACAGTAAAAAATAAAAAGCATCCAAAAATTATAGAGAATATTACATAATAAGTAAAGTTATAAATATAGGATAATAGGAATATGGTGGACAATATTTAGAGGAAAAGAGTACATTGTAAATTTAAAGGAACCTTAATTCTCAGTAGCAAAATTCTCAGTGGAGAGCCTCCAAACAAAATTTCAGTTCATGAAAAAAAAATTTAGCATGTAAGACCTCTTTTGTATTTTGTCTAGGTAGCTGCACAATTTCCTTTAAAATTCTGAAATCCTATCCACATGGGTAGTGTGTGTAAAACAGTGCTTCTCATCCCTTACAACACATGAGAATTAACTTGGTGGCTTCAGGAGAACAATAATAAGCCTGGTCCCCAGAGATTTGAAGCCAGATTCCTCAGGGGTAGAGCCTGTGTATCTCTACTTTGTAAAAGATCCCTGGGTGTTTATAATGTGCCATGAGGTCTGAAAACCACAAATGTAGATTAATGGTTAACACTTCAAAAAGGAGTTATAGGAACATTCTATCCTTTACTTATCAAAAATTTTCAATAGTCCTCCCGGTAGAACATGAACAGAAAAGGAACAGTGGTGCCAAATAATCAATTCCACATGGAATTTAAAACTTGTAATGACAGAGCTATACTAAGTAAATGCTGAATCAATATCCTTCTGTACTTTTAAAAATTCGGAAAGTTGAAATTCTGTGACAGGTTCATATTAAACACTATAATTAATAGAATTGTAAAAAGGATTTAAGTTATTAATAAATGTTAAACTAATTCCTAGAATTCTTAGATTGTTAGATTAATAAGTAAAAATGGGACTCTAATTTCTGATAAGAATGTATTTTGATTCTTAGTACATTTATTTTATAAAGGTATCTTGGCTTTATAAATATGAGGTGGTAATCACAAATTAGGAACTATTTATATTTGAAATATGAAAATCTGAGGATGTAATTGTTTTCTTTTTTACAACCCATTTAACTTTGTATTAGGTATCAGTAGCTGATCTTCCTGGCTTAATAGAAGGAGCACATATGAACAAAGGAATGGGCCACAAATTCCTCAAGCATATAGAAAGAACTAGACAACTACTTTTTGTAGTAAGTCATATGCATACCAATGTAATATTGAAATGAATGTGACAGTCTGAGTTTCATTTTCCTAGAAATTGTTTATGATAATAAGTTTTAAAGACGAGGTAGTATCATATGTTACTCCACTAAGTGTTTAAATAGGGGTCATATACAGTAAATAATTCATTTGTATTATAGGGGTGGATATGGCATTACTATATCAGATATAAGTTTGGCCATACTTGTCAAGGTTTAGTTCCTTAAGATGTTTAATTCCTTAAGATTGTCAACATTCTGCTATGTTATATAGTATCTCTTTCCTACTTCATTGATGATGCTAAAAATATATATTAGATTGCCTGTATAAGTACATACAAATTGCCTTATCTATACTAGTTTCTTATTTCTTATGATTGTAATTTTATCAGAATAATTGTAGCTATCTTAACACCACAGTTTCTCTTGTTTTGAATTACTAAATTACTAAGTATAGAATGAGAAATTGTTTTTAACTTGAGAGAGGAAAACATTTCAAAATATAGAAATTTATAACTTTTTGTGTTGTTTTTATGTTACTCTCTCTGTCCATCTTTTTTTTAGGTCGATATTTCTGGATTTCAGCTTTCTTCCCGAACTCAATACAGAACTGCCTTTGAAACCATAATACTACTTACAAAAGTAGGTTTTCTGTTTTACTGTGTTCTGCATTTGGTCTAATATATAAGCATATAGGACTGTATTAAGTAACAGATAATTCGAATAAATATATATGCTACCTCTACTTTTTGAGGTCAAAGAATTATCTAAACTTGCTTTCTCCACTTCTTTTGTATTAACCCACTCTTCAGACTGTTGCAACGAATAAAATCTTCCTTGATTCCAAATCCCTGTTATGTACTTCTCAGACTTTATCTTGCTTGAACTTTTATTCCTACTTTTTAGATTATTTCTTGGCCTATTTTTTGTTTTTTCCTGTTCATTGTTTAAGTAGCATTTGGTTACAGCTAATATACTGTACATATTATAGAGTTATATACTGTATACAGTTAATATATTATATATAACTATATAATATATATAACTGTGTATATATATTATATACAGTTAACATACTGTAATATACAGATGACTGCCAAATCTGTTCTGATCATTAGAATTTTTGGTTCTGCTTTAGACCAGCAGCCTAATGGATATCTTTGATTGGATGTCCCGTTAGGTTCTCAAACTTAATATGTATAAAACAACTTTTTTTTTTAAATCTCTTCATCCTCCCCAAGAACTTTACTGGGCATGTAAACCAGAAACCTGGGTGTTGGTCCTGGATTCTATCTTTCTCACCACCTGTATTAACCCTGTCAGTTCTAGATCCTAAATCTCTCTGAAATTCATCTCCTTCTCTTCATCCACACTGTTATAATCAACCCTTCATCACTAGAATGGTTTAGATTTCCTATGTGGTCTCCTTGTTTCCAGTCTCACTTCTCTCCAGTCCATTTTTTTTAATTGAAATTTAGTTGATGCACAAAGTTATATTATTTTTAGGTGTACAACACAGTGGTTCAACAACTCTATATGTTATGCTGTGCTCACCATAAATGTAGCCTCCATCTGTCACCATACAATGGGTATCACAGTACCATTCTCTAGTCCATTTTTTATTTGGCAGCTCGAGTGATCTTTGTGAAAGAACCAAGCTGATGTTTGTTCCTTGTTTAAAATGCTTCAATGGTCCCCCACTGCTGTTAGGTTAAAGTCTTACCCTGAACATGATTTTTGAGGTCTGTCAAGGGTTGGCTCCTACCAAGCAGTTCATCTCTGCCCTTCCTGCCTTACTTTCTATTATCAGCCATATGATTTCTCTCTAACATAGCATGATGTCTCTTACCTCCAGGACTTTTTATATCTTATATCCTTGTCACTTTTTGTCTGTTATGAATAATGCTTCTGTGAACATTTGAATACAGATTATTGTATGGACATGTTTTCATTTCTCTTGGGTATATACCTAGGAGTAGAGTTGCTAGATAAAATGGGAAATCGGTGTTTAACACTGAGAAACTTTTACAGAGTAGCTGCACCATTGTACTATTTTATAATCCCACTAGCTCTGTATGTGAGGCATTCCAGTTTTTCCATGTGAATGCCAACATTTGTTATTATCTGTCTTTTTTGTTTTAATTATCTTAGTGGGTGTGAAGTGGTATTTCATTATGGCTTTGATCTGCATTTCTCTAATGACTATAATGATGCTGAACATCTTTTCATATGCTAATTATCCATTTGTATGTCTTTGGAGAAATGTCTATTCAGATTCTTTGCCCAATCTTTAATTGAGTTATTTGCCTTTTTATTGTTGAGTTGTAAGAATTCTTTTTATTTTGGCTACGAGTCCCTTCAGTTACATGATTTGATTTTCTCCCATTCCGTCAGTTTTCTCCACGTTCTTTTTTAAGTTTTTATTTATTTAGCGAGAGCGTGCAAGAGTGAGCACAAGCAGGGGAGGGGCAGGGAAAGAAAGAGACAGAGAGAATTCCCAGCAGGCTCCGTGTTGTCAGCACACAGGCTTGACCTCATGAACTGTGAAATCATGACCTGAGCCGAAACCAAGAGTCAGACGTTTAACTGTCTGAGCCACCGAGGCATCTCAACCCACTAGTCTGTCAGTTGTCTTCATTTCCTTTACGATATTTTTTGATGCATAGAATTTTACATTTAATGAAGTTCTGTTTTTCTGTTTTTTCTTTTGGTTGTGCATTGGTGTCATAGCTAAGACACCATTGCCTAATCCATGGTTATGAAGATTTACTCCTAAGCACACTTGCTTTTTCCAAAATTAATACAAGTTTAACATTAAATTGTCATTATTTACTTCTGAATTTTATCAGTGTGCTTAATAGATATCTAAATATCTGTATTTGGTCCTTGGCACTAAATTACAACTGTAACTTTGAATTAAAATATTTGAATTAAATTCAATTTGAATTAAAATATATTAAATTCATTTTATTTATTTGAATTAAAATATATTAACACATCACCTAACCAGTAAGCATTTTATGAATTTTGTCACTTAGTTTTGTGGTTGTTGGGGTTAATTGCATTTCAAGAATGTGAGTGGGCTGTAGATTGATTACAGGCCTACAAAGTAAAGTAAGATATTACCAAATAGATGATCTATACAGATATTTTAATACAATTATCTGATTTTTCTTTTTTTATTTAAAGGAGTTGGAGTTGTACAAAGAGGAACTTCAGACAAAACCTGCACTCTTGGCAGTTAATAAAATGGACTTGCCAGGTGCCCAAGATAAATTCCACGTACTGATGCATCAACTCCAGAATCCTAAAGGTAAAAACATTTGTTCATTTAATGTCAATTGAATGGTTACCTATTGTGTGGAGAGACTGCTAAATGGTATAATCAATGAAAAGAAAACTGAGGGTTTCTACTCTTAAAAAAGTATGTCTGAAGAAAGAATGTATACCATATGAAACTTTAACACTGTAACATAATACTTAATCAAGTTTCAGAATTGTAATATGGACTGTAAGTTAGAAGAAACGGAATAAAAGGTCAGGTTTCATTAAGAAATAAAACTTAAACTGAGCCCTTAAAGAATTAATGGGATTTAGTGGCATCTGGGTGGGTTAGTCTGTTAAGTTTCTGACTTCAGCTTAGATTGTGATGTCTCGGTTCGTGTGTTCGAGCCCCATGTCAGGCTCTGTGCTGACAGCTCAGAGCCTGGAACCTTCTCTGTATTCTGTGTCTCCCTCTCTCTACCCCTCCTCTGCTTGCACTCTGTCTATATTGGGAGGGAAGAAAAAGAATTAATGGGTTTGGATCAGAAGAGGAAAAAGCATCTACCTGTAAATTTTTTTACTTTAACGTACTTCACAAGTTCTAGAACTTGATTCCCCTAATACACCATAAACTTAAAACCAGAGCAGATAGTTCTAAAGAGGTATGTATCTTTGCAATGCTAGGTCTCTGAAGGGTACTAATCTTCTAAAAAGAATTGAATACCTATGTATGTGTTACATAGAGTAGTAGATGCTGTTACTTCCAAAGGATTTATTTGTTTGAAATTTGTTCCTAAATGGACCACTTTGTGTAAAGGAACTTAAAGAGACTCTCTACAGTTTTGAATATTGACCTTTGCAGAATTCCTATCCTACAGTGATGATGCTTTCACTTTTCTGAATCTAGTAGAGAACCGCTTCACAAATGAGGAAAATTAGGGTGGACAGAAGGTGGCTAATATGTTTGTAAATGGTACTAACTTCTCTGTTTTTATTCTTGGGATAAAAATTGGGGAAAATAAATTCTAGTGTACTAGGACTAGCAGACAGCACCAGAAGATCCTTTCTCTCCTCTCAAAAATCTTTCCAGTGTGTTATTTATGTTTTGGAGCTGTCCTTAAGTTAATAAATTACTCTGTGGGATATAAATACCCCTGGAACTACTCAGTAGTCTTTATTCCTTAATGTCACTTGCTTTAGAAGTCATTAGATCTGTTTGCTGATTAGTCTTGCAGAAAAGGGAATTTTCAGAGGAGGTATAAGGAGGGAGGGTAACTCGGGTTTGTTCCTATTTTGGACTGTCATAAAACAAAACATAGTCTCCTCAGTGATAATACCTGAGTTAGCTTCTTTAGACTTCTTTGGGGGCATATGATTCTCAGATACCAAGCTCCGTGTTGACTTGTCCAGTCTCTCCCAGTCTAGCCTTTCTTATTTATATCCATGTTAACCCATCCCATCAGAGTGCTATTTCCCCTTCCATTGTCTTAGAGGCAGGGAAGAGGAAAAAGTAATATAATAGCTGTCAGTCCCTTTGGGGTGATAGACCGGACTCATCTGAAATCATCTCCCCTTGAACTGTCCTCATACCCTTTTCAGTTTTAGTATGCCTCCTACCACCAGTGATAATAAGCCTGTAGTTAAGGGAAGCTAAAGGCCACCCATATTCTGAAGCAAGCTAGAATGTCCCAACTCGTGAATGATGTTATTTTTATATATGATGTCTTTCACACATATGTTGTCTGACTTTATTGAACTCTCCAAGAAAACCAAATTTATTTCTTCTCTTAGTAAATCATATATGATGTATCTTTTATTTATACTTAATTTGATTTAAAACATATTCATCCAATAAATACTTGCTAAGCACCTATCATGTCCCAAGAATCTTAACCATTGTCATTTATATAAACAAAAGATTCTGAGAGCTTATTAATGAGGGAAGGGGAAAAAAAAGAATTAAAAATGCTCTTTTTGGTTCCTTGATTCATAAATCAAACCTCTAACATAGTTTTAACTTCTTTTCAAAGACCATGAAATCAGCTTAGTTTTGAGTTTTTTGTTTCAGATTTTCTGCATTTATTTGAGAAAAATATGATTCCAGAGAGGACTGTGGAGTTCCAACACATCATCCCCATCTCTGCAATTACGGGAGAAGGAATTGAAGAATTAAAGAACTATATAAGAAAATCTCTGGATGAACATTCCAACCAGGAAAATGGTGCATATCATAAGAAACAGTTGCTTAATTTACAGATTTGCAGTACAGTATCTTATAATGAGCCACCACCAAAGAATGCTGTTACTATTCCCAGATAGGTGTAATTTTAATATATTAAAAATGATATCAAGGGGCTCCTGGGTGGCTCATTTGGTTAAACGTCTGACTCTTGGTTTAGGCTCAGGTCATGATCTCACGGTTCGTGAGACTGAGCCCTGTGTGAGGCTCTGCACTGACAGCATGGAGCCTGCTTAGGATTCTCTTCTCTCTTTCTTTCTGTTCTTCCCTTGCTCACACACACACTCTCTTTCAAATATATACAAGTAAAATAAATAAATATCAAAATTGTGTTCATTTCAAAGCTTTTCCACACATTTGGTGTTTTCTAGGTTAGTTATTATTAACCTTCTGATATATATGCCATCATTCAAGAACCATACTTCCTTGTTTTATAGTTAAGTGTATCGATAGTAAAAAAGGAACGGAGAGCTAAAAATGACAATTTGTAATTTAATGGCTAGTTCACCTAAAAAGTAAAATCCCCTGATATGTTTGTATTTATAATGTTTCTAGTGAGATCATTTATTTCTACATATATACATATACATAACGTATGTATACTGGGGGGCTCAGTTGGTTAAGTGTCCAACTTTGACTCAGATCATGATCTCATAGTTTTTGAGTTCGAGCCCTGTGTCAGCCTGCTTCCTGGAGCCTGCTTCAGATTCTGTGTCTCCTCTCTCTCTGTCCCTCCCCCACTTTCCCTCTCTCTCACACACACAAAAAAAAACATTATTAAAAAAAGAAATCTATATTTTTTTCCCTAGAATATTACTAGAATGAGCAACTAGATTTGGTTTATTTTTGAGTCTGTCCTGTACCTGATTCTACTAAATATGTAATAGTTTCTTTTTTGGAAAACCTCAAAACCCTAAATTTCAACTTATGGTCAGTTATAATAAAGATCACTGATAATATTTAACAGAAACTAGCAGGTAGATGTTTGCAAATTCACCTTTTAGGAATTTTCTTTCTTAAGTATTTTGTCCTGCTTTGGATCAGATTGGTATGTGTCTCATTTTGTGCCCTAGTCTGTTTTGTTGCCTATTCTCATATATTAGTAAAGAGAATAGGAAGTGTGAACTTTAAACAGTGTTATCCAGGGCACCCGGGCGGCCCAGTTGGTTAAGCTTCCAACTTCGGCTCAGGTCATGATCTCACAGTTCGTGGGTTTGAGCCCTGCCAGCACAGAACCTGGTCCTTTTTCAGATTCTATGTCTCCCTCTCCCTCTGCTCCTTCCCCACTTGCACTCTGTCTCTTTCTCTCTGAAAAAATAAATACACATTACAAAAATAAAGATAATATTATCCATCACCAATATATTCTAAAGAGATTAAAATTTCTAAATTTCTGTCTTAGTTTCAAAAATTCAAATTGGATCTTTTTTCTCAATGAGAGTTTTATTATAATATATATATATTCATTGTAAAATACAAAATTTAAACAGTGTAAAAGCATATAAAGGGAAAAAGAAAAGTTCCCATCTATCTGTGTGGGCTGTCTAGTCCTTGCCAGAGAAAACCACTGTTCATAGTTTCTTATATTCTGGCAGAATTTTTTATTCATTTATCTTTTTACCCAAATGAGTTCATTATGTAAACCTTTTCTAAGTTTTTTTTAATAGTAACAAGTTAATTAGCTTTTTTAAGCATAATTTATTGTCAAATTGGCTAACACAATGTATTCAGTGGCAAGTTAATCAGCTTTCAAAAATTATTCTTCAAAGCTGCTTTTAAATTATTACAAATTATTTGGAATTTAAGGCTTAGTGAAGTCTTTACATATAGCAATAAGTATTTAATAAAAATCATGTCAGTATTCTACTTAAATTTCTTCTGATACGACATTGTGAATGAGTTTTTATAAGCATTACTTCACTTTTATTTGTTCTGCTTTTTGTTCCCCACTCTCACCTCCCATTCTAAGCCCCAGATCACTGGCTTTCTTTTGTATTTCTTTTTTCTTCGTGGCACAGATATTTATTAAGTGTCTCGCCAATGTCAGGCGTGTACAGGATTGAAGAGAGCAGACATCTGCTTCCCTATGGATCTTACATTCAGTAGCAGAAATCAGGGAATTAGAATAGTCTGGTTCCACTTTACAACAAAGAAATAAGAGTGAGTAGAACATGTGGAATTTGAACATCTGTACTGATTGTTATGGCCATGTTTCATATGGATATGTTTTACATTTATAACTTTAGTATAATTTTTCTTTTTTACTTTTATTATTTCATAAATAAAAAAAGTAATGTGAGACAGTTTCATCTTGTGAATATCTGAAGTTCTGACACCATAATCTTATTTTCTGCTCTGGCAAAGGATAGTAGATGTATGATGAGAATTAAGAGGAATTATATCTTATTTGCTCTGTCAGCAATGCCCAGCTTACCACTCCACAACTAACTTAAGCATTGTGTTATGTAATCACTAAAATGTTCCATTATATGTATTTTCTAGTTATGGGAAGTTTGTTAATTTTTATTCTAAACAGAAGGAAAAAACCTGGATCCCTTTTTATTTTATAAAAAATACATTTTAAAAACTAAAGACTTATTTTGAAATAAATATACTAACATATCAGGTGCCATTTATTTTGTCCTTAAGATTTTTTTCATTTTTACTTTTCGAAATATACCTTTTGGAAGACTTAATTTTTTTTTTTAATTTTTAATGTTTATTTTTGAGAGAGAGAGTATGAGTGGGGGAGGGGCAGAGACAGAGGGAGACTCTGAAGCAGGTTCTAGGCTCTGAGCTGTCAGCACAGAGCCGGACACAGGGCTTGAACTCAAATTGCGAGATCATGACCTGAGCTGAAGTTGGAAGCTTAACCAACTGAACTACCCAGGCACCCCTAGAAGACTTAATTTTTATATTACTGAATAGCCAGACTATAAATGTGCTATGTATAGTAAATTTTTACCAAGTCTAAGTATGTCTTAAAGAGCTGCTTGTGTCAGATATCATTTACCGTCGTGAATTACAAGTTTTTACCATCAGCACTGTCAAGTATTAATCAGATCATACTATGAAGTTGGATCTGTGCTTTGACGATTCCACCCTGAATAAGAATATTCCAGAAACCTGTAATATCATTATTTTTGCAATATATATCCATTTCCATATTATTTTTATCATAGCAACATGAACTTTATGGAAAATTAATGTTTTCTTTTTAGTGGTAAATGTATTTAATTGGGGAAAAAAGTCTTCATAATGGGAAAATTCAGGTCAAAGTTATTTAAGCTTTTACCTAGTTAGTTTTCTTGTAAAGTTACATATCTTTGCCCAGTGTTCGTTTGCTTTGGGAGGATGGAGTACAGAGATTTCCTTGAGAAAGTTAATGAAAGCTAAAGATTTTTTTTCTTGCCATAAATGTACATAAACACATGGAATATTTTCCAAGTAGTTTCACACAATTTGCAAAGTTCAGATAAAAAACTTAGTTAATAAAGGTAGATTATCTCTAGAAATTTGGAATATCATTAAGTTACATTTAAAATAATGTTTCAGGTACCAGGCTGCTTCTGTCAGTAGAGTGTGCAACTTTTGATCTCAGGGTCATGTGCTCAAGCCTTACATTGGGCATGGAGCTTACTTTAAATTGATAGATAAGTGACAGCTTTTATAAAAATAAAGCCTACATAATAGAAAGTTTTTTTTAAATTTTTTTTTAATGTTTTATTTATTTCTAGGAGAGAGAGAGAGAGACAGCATGAGCAGGGGAGGGTCAGAGAGAGAGGGAGTCACAGACTGAAACAGGCTCCAGGCTCTGAGCTAGCAGTCAGCACAGAGCCCGATGCGGGCCTCGAACCCATGAACCGCGAGATCATGACCTAAGCGAAAGTCGGACTCTTAACCGACTAAGCCACCCAGGCGCCCCTGTAATAAAAAGTTTTTTAAAAATGTTTCAAAGCAGCAGCATAATGTAACTCATAGAATATAGCTTAAATATGAAAGTCAGCAATAGTCTAAATTGTAAACCTTGTACAGAAGACATTTTTTCAAACACATGGTAACATCTTGTTTGAAGACTAAGTTGTGAAATGAATTTAATATATATTTTTAAACCCTTGAGTATCAGATTTAGTTTAAATCTGTCTCTCCTTATGGAATAGACAAGTGAAACAAATCCAGAAATTTTGTTTGAGTGCATGGTCTGTGCTGGTATTCATAATATCTAACACGGTAGTGTTTCCATATACCGGATCCTGTGCTGAGTTTTTCTCATATATTATCTCTTTAAAACACTATGCTATATTGCCTTTTGGTCATTTATTAAGTTGGGTGGTTTAATTTTTTTTTAATGTTTTTATTTATTTCTAGGAGAGAGAGAGACAGCGTGAGCAGGGGAGGGTCAGAGAGAGAGGGAGTGACAGACTCTGAAACAGGCTCCAGGCTCTGAGCTGGCAGTCAGCACAGAGCCCGACGCGGGGCTCGAACCCACGAACCGCGAGATCATGACCTAAGTGAAAGTCGGACGCTTAACCGACTAAGCCACCCAGGCGCCCCTGTATTTTATAATTTAAAAGAAATCTTTGCCTTATAAGAGTTTATACATTGTAATTAAGTCATTTAGATAAACATAGTTAATAAATGTTGGCAGACAACATGCTGTAATATTTAATGCAAAATTAATAATGAAAATTTTATTTTACTTTTTTAAACAGCTACTACAGAGTAGCATTTTGTTTTGTGATTGGAGCTTGACAAATAGAGTGAAAGTATCAAGAATCTCTCTAGGTTTAAGTGGTTATCACAAGCTAGCTGAAGGAAAAGCAAAATCAGATAGGTAAAAGAAATGAGAATAGGAGAGAGAAAAGCATGTATGTTGGAAAGTTGTAGTATTTCCCTGTGGATATTCAGGAGTAACAGGTGGGGTTATTGCCTCACTTGGCTATGAAAAGGATCAAAAAACCAGGGACAATTTCCACTAACAT